AATAATAATAATAATAATAATAATAATAATAATAATAATAATAATAATAACGAGGAAAACAAAATTGAATGCATTTTTACATATTAATTTATTAGAAATACAATGGTATGAAAGTATGATGTGAATATAAAATATTATTTGATTGATTGCTGACCATTATCGACGAGCTCTAATGTCTATCACGAATAGATATTTAATGTAAATATAATCTCGTTTATTATTTACACAATTTGCATCATTTATATATAAATTAATGGACTGTTTTTATTACTATGCCGTCGTTATTCATATAGCAATGCTTTTAAGTCGAGTGTCATTCTTCTTTAGAGAATAGAAGATAATTTCATATATAGAAATAGAGAAATTAAATTCTTTTCATATAATGCAATGCAATGTTTTTTTAATTTGTAAATAATAAAGGGATACCACAATCGCACGTTCAAGTATTTTTCAACTATTTTAAGAAATATTTCAGTTTCTATTAAATACGACCGTGAAAATCTAACTCAATGGAGGAATTATCATTACTTTATTAATTACAATGAAAATATTGATTTGACAATTATTTCATTACATGCTTCCTTTCTATTGCTGATATGTAAATGAATAATAATGCTTTCCCAAAATGGTCGTATAACGGTAACTTTTATTTACAACATTTAAAATAATGTTTCCACATAATTTTTAACAAGGTGTATATAATTGCTTTGCGTAAATGAACGTTGCAGCAAGCGTTTTCAAGCAGTAAGTATTGAGAAAAAATACTTGTAATTTGCTTTACGTTCCACAAGATGTAAATTTTCCCATTGTAACTTTTGTAACTTCCTTAATTCCATATAGTTTATGATTTATATTATAGTGTATATAGTATACTTTAAGAAATGCAAAGAAAATGTTTGCATTTATTAATGTAATATTACAACGGTACTCTTCGAAATAATAATATATAGTGCCAAAATAACTGCCGATGCGTGAAACGAAGATATATATCGTAAATAAATATTCATAAACAATATTATTGTAATTAACAAGGATTTGTATTCATATGGCTTGTCTCATTCGATATCGATGTTGGTAAGTATTTAAGAAGGCTTAGTAGAATATCTTCCATAGACTTTCAAAATTTGCTATCAAGCAGCTTAAAGTACAAAATCAAAGATTCCAATACATAACTTTTTCAAAGCGATTAATTCTTCATCGATCTTCTTCGTAGCTACAATGTCACTCATATGGCTATTAACATTATATCGAACTAGCACCTACGCCGTGTGTACTTCCTACGTATATCAGCTTCAATATTCAATTCAAAATAATTTTGTTTGCGTGAGACAAATGTGGAGAATTTCCAAAACCTTTTACCATTGCCTATTATCGGTAAAAGCCATAGGGAGTCCAAGAAAATAAAGCTCTATAAGATCAGCGCGTGACAACGCTCCCTTTAACCGCCCTCGTGGAATAAATAAATTTGCCCTCATCATTCATTCATCGAATTCTGAAATCGTAACTCGCGAGTAGAGCTTATAAAAAACCGAGAGCCCTGCTTTCGGAAAAATAACATGCTCGCGCATATCGAGCTGCTGCTGCTGCCTGTCTGCCTCTCTGCCTCTCTGCCTGTTTGCCCTGTCTGCCTATCTTCCTTACGCTTTTTCCGAGCTGCTTCAAAATAGATCAAAGCCCCAGCTTTCCAGGACACCGTTTAGGGGTAGGCAGACAGCCAGGCAGCCAGGCCTTTGAAAGTATCCTAAGTACGTTGCGTGTTGCTGGCTTTTCGATTAGGACGCCACGGCCATTGCACTCTCGCTTATTCGTTCCATGCTTCCGCGTGTGGAAATAGGCCGAGCGGAGCGGGACGGGTGAGGGATTGACGTGGGCGGGAGGGGGCGGGAGGGGGCGGGAGGGGGGCTGGGAGGTGCCGGGTAACGTTCTCTTTTTTAAAGGACGCACCGCTGGAAATTTATACTCGCTCAAGTGCTAAGATCTCGGTGTGAGAGAGGTGGAAATTACACGCGGAGTGCGTGTTTAATAACGATGAACATGTGCAAATGTTTATTGGGATGTGCTATTGTATCTTCCATTATAGTTTTCACAGATTCGCAATTTTATGATGATTCTTTCATATAATAACGAATCGTTGCAAATTAACATGTTAATTATTTCAACAAGCCCATTTCATTTAAATAAGGAATTGATGTGGAGCAGATTAATAGACTGGATTTAACTCCGTTGGACTTTGAAATTGATTTATTTATGATAATGACACTCGCACTGATTGTCTAAAATAAGCGGATGCTTTGTCTTAATAACTAAAGCTATTTGTATCAGATAATTATAATTAAATGCGTATATACTAAAGAATGAAAGATTCAATAGATATTCAATAGATCATAAAAACATAATTAATACACTTGTACTTTGTGCATGTACAAAATCTTTAGAGACTTATCAAAAGACGAATCATTATTTGTTTAACTTTTTTTTTTCTTTAACAATACTATTACAATAAAACATTTCATTACTATTACTGCAGTCTCAGAGTTAAAATTAAATTGAATTCTATATTGATAATTTAGCTACACAACATCTAGTTATCAATATATATATATATATATATATATATATATATATATATATATGAATTATAAGGATATACTACAAATATCATTCCAAACAATAAAAAAAATGCCAAAAACGGCAAATGGGTATCAAGATGGTTTAGTTAACATGTATATATGTATATATATATATATATATATATATATAAATTACAATTCAACAGTAATATTAATACGTTTTTTTTTGAAATACAGAAGCATCTCTTATACCAATGATATTCTTTATTGTTATAATTGAAATTAGAATTTCCTTATCGTTAATGCTTTTTACTCTGTATCTATTCTCATTTACTTAAATATTTTTGATAATAATTTATAGAAAACAACGATGTTTCGACTAAAACTGAAATATTCCAATGCTATGAACGTTTATTTTAAGGCTCTTTAACAATCTTACATCGAATTCTTACATCAGATCGGTGTAATGAGTCTTAAAAGATGGGTAAACTAAGTGGGTTTTAAAATTACATGAATACATATACACCCACGCGCGCGCGCGCGTACCCGCTTAGTAACTATGTATGTACATATACGAAGATCCATAGATATAAAAGATTATTCTTTTGTTTTAAATCTGAATCTCTCGACTAGTTTATCATATATTTGTTCAATTTATTAAAAAATGCCGTTCTTCTTTTTAGGAATTAATTTATTTTATTTTATATATATATTTTTTTTTTTTAATCAGTATAGAGTACAGGTATGAAAGCAACTTATTTCAAAGTTGATTTAAAATTGAAAAATTTGAATAAAATATAAACTAAATTAACTAAATTAAAATTAAATTAATTCTACATTTTACATAAAAATGTAATTTAAAAATT